CAGAGGTAGGATCCGCTGTGGGCACCAGCTCTGCTGCTTTACATCCAACTTAGGTGCCATGAGTTCCTTTGGTTCTGATGGGAGCACTGTGGACATTCCCAGGAACAGCCTTATGGTTCCCAGGACCCCTGCTAGGGGACTGGATGCTCTCTCACACACCTCCATTTTCTTAACTTGCTCATTCTCAGAGCATTTATTTACATTGAACATATGATTTTGGAGGTTAGTGATGAGGTCTACGTAAAATTTCCTTAGTAGAATTCACTCATGTATGGCAAAATAGCATAAAAGTAATAAAGACCACAAGCACTTCATCTAGCTTGGCTAGTTTCAGGTGCAGCTCTTCATGAATACCCAAATACTAGCCAGCCTTTCCATACCAGGGAAGTGCTCATCTGCTCTGACATCACATTCAGAAATCCTGTCTGATGCAATGTTTGCTCCGACAATGTAACACAGAGGGAGGTGTTCAGTAACCTATTTCCGTAACTCACTGGTCTGGAGGAAGTGCAATCAGGTGAGAGGGGAAGAGATCTGGACACCCACTAGTCCCACCCCTACGCAGGATATGGAGGATGCAGGTCTGTCCCCTGGCTTCTCTGAGACACCTTTGTCACATGCGAAATAGATCTAAAGTCTTCCACAGAACTAGACAGTTTCTCAGATTTCTTCCACAATTAAAATGTCACAATTATGAGGGGATGCTCAAAAGAAATTCCAAATACTATTTAGTAGGCCTTCCCCATATTACCTTACATTTATGTTACATATAATTAAGACAATAACAAAACATCCACCGAGGTTGCTCATCAACAACAGTTATAGATTACAGAAAAGATTTGTGAGTATTCCCAGCAAACTTCTAATTAAGGCAAATATTTTATATAAACACATGCACACATACCCATACATAGATATAATGACAATGCCCGTAGATGTAAATGTAGATATGTATATATTAAAGTTAACATGTGTGCAATGACAAACATAAAGAAATGATCACAAACAGAAAAATGCCGAAGTGCAAACTGGGCAAAGCACATTCTATTTCACTAATGGCAATTCTTCTTGCATTCGAGGAAATGTTCTGTCTTCGTCTATGCCACATTTCATATCATTTGCCTATGCACTGACTATCAGTTCAAAGGGAATAGTATTGATGCACTTAGAAAGATACGGGAGAAATTAAACTTTCTGAATTTGGTGTTGGAGTATTTCATATTTGAAAAGTATTAATATTTTAGGTAATGATAACAGTATTTTGGCTACAGTTTTTAAAAAGAATCCTTATTTCTAAAAACTACATACTGAATCAATTATGGATAAAACGATGTGATCTGTTTTAGAATAATCAAGGGTGAAGAAGGGGAGAGAAAGAGGTAAAACTGGCTATGAGCTGATAAAATGAGATTGGCTATGAGGTAGTAACTGCTGAAGTCAGGGTGAATACATGGGGTATTGTTACGTTATCCTTTCTGCTTTTAAATACATGTGGGATTCTCCAAAATATAATAGTGAAAATTGCTTCTGACCTAAGTTCAATAAACCACCCCAATTTTCTGGTTAAAAGACTCATGTGCTAGAATTACCGAGATTTAGATCAGCAATGTTTGCTGAAAATGACAGGGAGAACAGTTAAGCATGTTCTGAATATCAAAAGAAAAAAAATCAAATATGGCCTATGAATTTAAGACATTTATGTTGTATTGTCATTAAAACTGTAAAGTTCAAAGAGTTGCAAGGAATTGTTTCCACTTTCTAATGAAAAGATGAAGTAATGAAAGTCACCTGAGGCACTGCTCCCATTTCATGTACATTCTTTCCATTATTTTCCAAGTGATGACAAGGTGGGTAACACGCTTGCTCAGAGTAAGTGAGTTACATAAAAGCTCTTGTCATCTTCTCGTTTTTCCAAACTGCTGATTTTAAGCCGTTAGAGTGAATATAGATAGCAACAAATTAAGATGTCAGGAAACGAAGGATGAAGGTGTGTTTCCCTCTATCTCCGAGAAATATTCAGACCTTTGGTGATGTAATATTGGTTATCAGATATATGAGATAAAGATATGATGAGACATATCAAATTTTCTGGAATTTTTCCAATTTCAAAAAGTCCATATGTTGTCTTCATAAATTACACACATATTCCAGAAATTCAAATGTTTTAATACAAATTATGCATTCAGATTGTTTCCAGAAAGAATATGTGTTCATCGCCACCTTTGCTGGAGACCAGTGACATTTGCTGAGCACCTACAAGGTGTCGGGAACGCTTCTCCACAGCTATCTAGAGAACTATCGTCATTTAGGTTCAACTGAAATTTCACCTTTTCTAGGAAACTTCCCTGGACTTCCCCTCAACCAGACTGCACCCTCCTGTCATACATTTTCAGAAGATTCTTTACTCCCCACTTCCTCACACTCGTCACAATTCCAACTGAACATATACTATCTATGTGATTTTTTTAGATGATGTGACTCTCACTAGACCACAAGCTCCAAGAAGCCGGCTTGCACTGCACTTCCTGCTCCTGGCACAGCATCCAGCACCCTAGTGATCAGCCCTGGCTGCACCTGAACCTCCTGGGAGCTTGAAAACGCCTACGCCTGGACTCCACCTCAAGAGACTAGAATGTGCTTGGCACGGAGGGAGGGGGTAAGGCCAGGAATTGATAACTGGTTGTTAAAAAGCCTCAGTGGACTCTAGTGGGCCTTCAAGGTTGAGAGCTCTGTTGAACAGAGTAGACTCAGAAACTATTAGTTGAATCAAAAGAGAAATAAATATGTAAGACTCTCTAAATATTTCAAAGACTACAGACTGTGCGTAACATTTGCTGTTTTTACTTGCTAAAAATATAAAATAATTAATGACATTAATGGGAATGTTGATATGGCCTCAGCAAAGAGATATTTGGGTTTTCTTAAATATCAAGCATAGAAAAAACCAGAATCACAGCTGGAAAGTACGCAAACCCAAGCCAACTAATTCACTACAAAACTATGCTAGAAATAAACAATGGCAACCCTCCATTGTACTTCCTTCTATGCCAAGATGGTTCTCCTGTAATAGCCCCTGATCTTCCCAGGGACCTGATAAGAACCACTACTCCTTACGTCATCCCGTTAGGGGCTCAGGCCACCGACCCTGCATTTGCCAGGGTCACCACCAACAGCCTAAGTGCAATTGTAAGGACACTTCTCTTTCATCTTCTGCTTCGTCTTAGCGATTCTGCTGACCACTCCCTTCTGTGTTTCCCTCCCGCCATGACCGCCCCTTGTTTGTCTCCTTTGCAGGCTTCTCTTCTTCTACCAGCCCCTTAAACATCAGTTGTCAAGACTCTTTCCTGGGTTTGCTTCTTTTTTCATCATCTTGGGTGAATGCACGAGCTCTCAGGGACCACCTATATGCCCACTATGCTCATCTCTCAGTCTCTAAATCCAACTACTTCCCTCTCTACTTACATGTCAGACAACCCCAAGTCACGCTGTCCAGACAAAGAGGTGGAATCATTTTTCTCCCCTATGTTCCCTAACTCAATAGCACCATCACCCTAACTGGCTGCCAGTCAGGCATCTGGAAATCACTGCTCATCCCTTCCTCCTCTTCATTTGCCCATCACTCTGTCCTATCAATTCTATTTCCTGAAAGCCCCTGGAGTCCATGCTCTTCTTCACATTCCCACCACCTGCACACAAGGCTGGATGCCTGTCTCCTTGCCAGCTTCGCTGCTCTGGGCTTGCTCCCTCTCAGCCACCTACCATGGGTGGCCAGAGTCATCCTCTTTTCAAAAGTATGTCTGACCTTGTCTTCCCCCACCCCACCAACCCTCACTTAAAATCCGTCAACGACTTCCTGTCACACTTGGGATGAAGTCCGAACCTGTCACAGTGGCCAAGAAAGTTCGGCTCCTCACTCCACCTCCACGCTCTAAGTTCCAGCCACACAGGATTCTGAGGCCTTCTCATGCTTGAAAGCTGTGCATATTCTCTCTTCCTGGAACAGTCTTAAATGCTTTCCTCCTCTATTTCAAGAGATGTCACTTCCTTCATATCTCAGAATGTCACTCCCCTGACCTCAAAACCCTGGATCAGAGGCTACTCCTAAGCACTCCAATGTTACACAGAACTTCCCTAGTCATAGGAAGCAGCACATAATATAGCTGGCAGGTTACCCATCTCCCCTACTATGTTGTAAGCTTGCATGAGCCAGGCCCTTGTCTGTTGCACTAACTATTGTCACTTTAGCACCTAACGGTGTCTGAAGCGTAGCAGGCATTCAATATACTCAATATTCTTCAAATGATAGTATGCAAACAAAAGCCAATTAGCCTGCATGCAAATAGCTCTTTGACTTCTTTCTCCCAGCTTCCCTCAGGGATCTACACAGGTAGTCCCTTTCTCAGGCTGAGCTGGCTAGTAAGCTACTTCTCATCCTTCCAGTTCTAATATGGAGGCCTTTCTGAGACATTCCCACACCGGCCATCTACAGCCTTCTCCTGAGTTACTCCCTTTTGGAACATGCTGTTTTTTTTCTTTTCATCACCTGTCCCAGTGTTTGATTTCGTTGGTTACATGTTCATCGGCTTTCCCTTCCTCTAGTAGTAACTCCGGGAAACAGTGGCTACGTCTCACTAGCACTGGGTGCAGTGCCTGGTGCAGAGCAGGACTTAACATACCCCTGATGAAACAATGCCCCGACTGACAGTTACCAAAGACCAACGTCACTTCCTCAGCATCATGCTGCCTGCCTCGAAATGTCAACTGCTCCCTGATGCAAACCTCTGTCAACACTACCCATCAACCACAAAAACAGACATAGTAAAAGAGTCATCCCTTTTCTTTAGCATAATGCTAACCAGTGGCCAAAAAATCCGCAAAACAAAACAAAAAAAGAGATACCAAGAAAGTTAGGTAGTCATTCCCTTCATCATTAAACATTCCCAAAATGTATTAAAATGACATGAAGGAATCACATAATACAGTGGAAGAGAAATCCTTGCCTTTCAGGTCTTTCACGTAGCCCTCTTTGCAATTGTGCATGAGCTGAAGGATCCACTTGTGTTGGGCTCCAATGCATTGCCAAGCAGGGTCACCAGGGGCATGAAGGTCAGACAAATACCTGAAAAAGCAAGTCCAAGGTTGAGCAAGCAGGCTTCATCACTTAGAAATGAGGCCAAAGGGAAACGCTAGGATATTTTACAATCATTACTTTTTAAAGGCTAGCCAAAATTGTATCAATTAGTCTTGTCCCGTCAAATATTAGTCTTTAATATTTAGTTCTCAATTAAATATATTCGAATTTCTTGGCTGGGTGAGGTGGCTCCTGCCTGTAATCCCAGCAGTTTGGGAAGCTGAGGTGGGTGGATCACCTGAGGTCAGGAGTTCAAGACCAGCCTGGCCAACATGGTAAAACCTCATCTCTACTAAAAATACAAAAATTAGCCGGGTGTATTGGTGTGTACCAGTAATCCCAGCTACTTGGGCGGCTGAGGCAGAATTGCTTGAATCCAGGAGGCAGAAGTTGCAGTGAGCTGAGATCTCACAATTTCATTCCAACCTGGGCGACAAAGAAAGATGCCATCTCAAAAGAAACAAACAAACAAACAATTTTTTAAAAAAAGAGTAGAGGCCGGGCGCGGTGGCTCAAGCCTGTAATCCCAGCACTTTGGGAGGCTGAGGCGGGTGGATCATGAGGTCAAGAGATCGAGACCATCCTGGTCAACATGGTGAAACCCCGTCTCTACTAAAAATACAAAAAAATTAGCTGGGCATGGTGGCGCGTGCCTGTAATCCCAGCTACTTAGGAGGTTGAGGCAGGAGAATTGCCTGAACCCAGGAGGCGGAGGTTGCGGTGAGCCGAGATCGCGCCATTGCACTCCAGCCTGGGTAACATGAGTGAAACTCCGTCCCAAAAAAAAAAAAAAAAGAGTAGAGCTTAAAAATAACTTTTCATATAATTAATAAATAATAAAACTATTAAAACTATCAGTGCTTTGTAAAAAGACAAGGACAATTTGTAGTGATTCTATCTACCTGATGAGCACTTTTCTTTATATTTATGTTTAGTTCACAGAGTTCTTGTGCTTAGTTCAGAGTCATATTAAACACAGGTGGGAGCCAGCAAATGCTGGGCAAAAACTTTGGAAAATTCAGTGTTTAAATTCCTTTCTAGTGTGAAATATGGCCACGAGATGGCAGTAAAGCACTGCTTTCTAAAGCTAAATGAGGGTTAACTGAACTGTGAAGAGATTTGGTGACAACACTCATCTCTAAAGTCTACACTTATGACTAAGAGAATATTTCTCTAGAAAATATAGTATAGTTCAGTGTTTTTCTTAGTTTCTAAATAGTTCTTAAAATATTTCGAGTATTTGTATATAATACACCCAAACCCACAGAGACCATTTGAATATATTTCAATTGAAAAATTTCTGTCAAATATTATTTAAGATTTGGCCATCAGCCCTCACAAAAATATATAAATGTAGCAAGCTAAATCCAATTAAATCAACTCCAAAAGCATGTCCAAATGAATTTACTGTCTTAAAACTGTTGTTAAGCCATATTTCGTCCCTTGTCTCTGGGTTAGAGGTTTTTGTTCAGTGGTAAATCATCATCAATAGCTCCAAGCTGACCTCGAGCCAGACCTCAATCTCTCAGGGGTGCGCCCATGCTTCCAGCCCATTCTACCAGTAGCAAGATGTGCTACTCAGATATCTCAATCAGCAGCCAATCAGAGGAGAAACAAATCCACTTTGTAATATGTTAGCAACAAATAAAATGCTGAGAACACTGACATCACACTTACGAGCTATCCTCATGGACCCTGACCTTCCTAGCTGATGGGGAGGGCCTGGGTGCTGTGGAGAGCCAGGTGTTCAGGCATCTGCGGAGGGGCCACACTCAGGCTGCCCAGAGGTGGCCGAGAGCTGCCATCTCCTCAGGATGTGTCTCTGTGCTGAGAAAGCGGCAGGTCAACTAGAAGGAAGAGCTTTACTCAGATTAAGAAGTCACCCAGGACTCCTCCTCATAAACGAGAAGAAAACTACAATGTAATAAGTGACATTTGGCCTGGCATAGGGGATTCATTTCAGATTCCAAAATCCAATCTGATTCTCTCTCTCACACAAGGCTTTCCTATTTTATTACCTGAATGATAAATATAACAAAGAATACATTGTGTCATTTATTCCCAAAGAACGTGATTCTATGCTTTCTTGCTGGGGATAATGCATTTCAGCGTTCTCCCTTAACAGGCTTGTTCTGCCTCCCAACACCTCTGCTATGCTTTCACCTAACACTTTCACTCCCGTAGCCCGCAGATTCGGTATTAGTAGTAAAATATAGGGACATTCCTTTAGGGATGCTGTTCCTTTTAATGTTTAAGTTATTGAATAGGGACATAGACTATTCATTACAAGGGTTCTTTCTCCAGAATACAGCAAGAGGAATCAATAAGCTTTGCTTAGTAACCTTTAACATTATACACCTCTTTTAAATGTTGACCGTGTCCTTACAAAACTTAGTAACAAAAGACTTTTTTCTATTATCTTATTAATGGTTATTAACGTAAAGGAGTTTATAAGAGTTTTACAAAGCAAGATAAAGTTGTTTTCTTAGAAATTCTAGACTCAGTTCAAAGTATGACAACTTGTGCTAGGCTCTTCAAATAAGTTTCTTGTTTTCTTTTGGTATGCAGCTAAAAATAAATAGTTTCATTTCAAAGCTCTTTGTTTAGAATATGATACATGTTATTGCCATTTCTTTTAAAACTGCATATTAATAACACTTTTTTTAAAGGCTTTTTAGATTAAAAAGCAATGTAAAGAATGTTGATTATAATGAACACAGGCTCAGTGTTTTAAAATTTAAAAATTAAGGAAATTTTTGTCATATTAGGATAAGATCACACCGCTATGGAAAGAAATATGCAGAGTTTTGCTTCCTGTCAGCATCAAGACAGAATAAGGAGAGGAAAGAAAGAACTGGGACGGTTGAAATTAGATAAAATACTCAACAATACTAGAAAAAATCGTGAACAATAGTAAGACAATATATTGGTAATCTGATTTTCACTTCTACCATGCATAACTTGGACTATATAAGAAAACTAATACATTTTTGTTCATGATAAAGCTATCTCTAGTCCTACCTGGTGTTCATAAATGTCAAAGTCCAACAGATATTTGGCCCAGTTCTCATTCTATTTCCTAGTGACTAAAAATTTAATTTAAAAAAGGTAACAATTGCTCAGTGTCTTCTCAAAGCATCATAAATAAAACAACCATTAAAAAATACATAAAACTATTGTTGACTTGTTTATATTTCTGCTCTTTTGCCTTTAAGATGACATGAGAAAAGGCAGTTAAAAGGCTACTTAAAAGAATCTTTTTTGCCGCCACCACCTTTTAAAGGATATCCAGTAAGTTAAATAGTCATAACAACTACACATGAGTTATCCATATAGACGGTAACTCACAACATAAAGAATTTGCACATTCAATAATATTTAACACATTACTGGCAGGTTTAAAATAACAAGTGTAAACCGGTGACAAATACACAAAAGCATACACAGTGAAGGAGCAAAGCGGAAAACAGCAGCCTCAGGACGTCTGACACTACCCAGCTGCATGTCCTGGACACAACGCTCAACCTCCCTGGAACTCCGTAGCTTTCTAGGTAGAAATGATGCAGTTGGATAACTAAAGTGTGGTTTATTTCCAGGTTTAAATTTCTAGGAGTCTGCAAACCAGGAAAATCCCCCATCCACATTCTTTCTTATGGAGGCAGCTTACAGAGAAGCAAAGGTAGGCTCTAAAGCCACACAAACAAGCCTCCTTGTCACTGTGTGTGCTGGGCAAGCTTCAGCGTCTTCATCTGTACAATGGGCACCACACAAGCATCCTTTCATGGTGGTGATCAGGATTAGAGAGGACTTGCAGAACACATCCTGCCCAGTGCCTAAGCTCGCAGCACACGTGCAGAGGTGGCAGCACACAATCACACAGCCTTCTCTTTATCCCACCGCCAGTGCCTCTGCTTGCTTCCTCCTGGGCAATACTAGTGTGCTGCCAGTGACGACGGCTCATACTCCTGCTGTACGCCTTATAGATCCTTTCCCTGTTCACAACTGCACACACAGCAGCTTTCAGGTCAAACCCTCTCTCCAAGACAGTCTTTTCTTTTCAGAGACAGGATCTTGCTGTCACCCAGACTCTAGTGCAGTGGCATGATCACACCTCAATGCAGCCTCAAACCCCTGGGCTCAAGAGATCCTACTGCCTCAGTCTCCTGAGTAGCTGGGACAACAGGCATGCATCCCCACATCTGGTTAATTTTTGATGTTTTGTAGAGACAAGTTTTCACTATGTTGCCCAGGCTAGTCTAGATTTTCCTGGTTTGCAGACTCTTAGACTCAAGCAATCCTTCTGCCTTGGCCTCCCAAAGTGATGGAATCACAGGTGTGAGCCACCGTGCCAGTTCCTGAGACATTATTTTCAAAGGTCACATGGGGACCACAGCTAAATTCATAAATACATTGTCTATCATTTTATAACCACTGAATATTCAATAAACTTCACGAATTCAAGAGGAAAACCATTAAATTTGTAAAATAACTTGTTCTGAGAACAAAGGCCATACTCAAAAAATCCCAGCAGAAAATGAAATTAATATTTGTAATACAGATATAAAAAACCTAAACTTTATATGTTTTGTCTCCAAATCCTGACATAAACTACATGCATATAAAATTTACTGACGACATTTTATGTGCTGGGTACTGTATTAAATGCTTAAATGTATTTCTGATTATCTTTGCAACTATCCTGAGACGCAGATTTGATTACCATGTCAATTTTATAGATGAAGAAACTAAAAAACAGAACTCAAGTTAGTTGCCCAAAGTTAACAGCTAGTCCCATAATGTATACCAGTTTTCTCTAAGTCCTTTTCTTCATATCCTGTGACATATCCTCTTAACATTACTGTAATTTTTTTTTTAAGTATGCTCGCTTAGCGACTTTTATTTCTCTATCACTGACACTGAAGGCTTGGAAATCAAACAGCTATTCAAGGCTAAAACCTTGCAGGACTTACTCTAAACAACAACACGTTCTTGTGGCATAATGCATTTCCTATCCAGTGTGTGACAGTATTCTGCTTTAAGCCACACAGGGAGCCCCTATTTCACAGAATGTGGGTACCCATACCATCCCACTAGGTGAGGTAACCCTTGCTCAGCAGGAGGAAGAGGTAACTAAGCAATGAGGCTACTTTTCCTTTCCCCCAAATGGCAGTTTTCTTAAAAAGTAACTCCATAACTATTCCCAAGGCCATTAGAAGAATTTTGGTATCCTATTCCAGGTGCCCCTAAATTTCTGCTATTTGTCTTTACCTTCACCATTTCATCAATCTCCTAAGGTCCCTCAAATAAGCCTTAAAGGTTACATGATACATCCAGTACCAAAGAGATATACGTGATTCCACAAAATTTTTGCAGATGATTTACCTTATGTAACGTTTTTGGTCATGTAAGGTTGATGGTGTCTCAAGCAATTTATCCAGAAGTAATTCTCTTAAAGCTTCAATCCTTGTTTCTACTTCAGCATAATCTATTTAAAAAGAAAAGAATATGCAAGATTTACAGAATGGAAATTTAAAATCAAATTTCAGAAAGCAGAATAGTAGTTGCTTTTGTGGGGTGGAGGCAGATTAAGATAGAGGCATCAGGGCCCTGCCTAGAATGATCAGAACACTATCTCCGGTGTAGGTTACAAGGGTGTATGCATTTGTCGCAACTCACGGACCTCTAACAGGTAACATTTCACTGAATGTACATTTGACCACAATAAAAAAAAAATTTAGTTTTCTGACCTTACAGATTTCATTTTTAAATTTAATAAGGCCCTGTGATATTTCTCCTGGTAGATAAGGCTTTAACCAAAGAGCATTTTAAACTTTTATATTTTTCTGTAACTCTGGCATTAAAAATAATTTCAAAAGTTGTTGGGTTTCCTTTAAATGAGGTTAGAATTCATAAGTCTGTTGGTCTCTCTGAAGACGGAAGATTAAAATGTAGGTTTCCATCTCTACAAAATACTTGTCATTGATTCTTTCCAGTAAACTAAGACTTTTTAATAGCATTACGACTAACAAATGGCAAAGAACGCCCCAGACTAATCTATCATTGTGGTTGTTCATTTTCACTGCATATCAAACAAGGAAAGTCATACTGTTATTTTTGAAGTAATTGTTTTGTATTTAAAAAAGAGCCCCATATAAACAAAAACTGAAACTCATATAACATTCTTTGCAGAACACATTCCACATTCTTCCTATAAAAGGAAAGTAGAAAATCTAAAAGTAATAAACAAATCTTACATTTCTTGAAAACTTGCACCTCCGTTTTCCCAAATAGTGACTTGGCCTTTTCATAATCATTAATAACGACATCATAATCACCCTTTAAAATAAAGAAACATTTTGAAAACTGTCAGTAATGCAAAATGGAGACATTGGGTTAATATAAAAAACATTTTTAAAAATCTTAAAAATATATGACATCTATAACCATATGTACATAAATAAATATGGACTCTACCTTTTGAATATTCCTTTCAATATTTAGAGGAAGGTTGAAAAGAAACTTAAATCGCTGAAGCACATTGAGTGCATTTCTAGTGGAATCTGCCTTGTCTTTCCGACCTAATACTTCTTGAAACAATGTGTCCGCAGTATTACTTGCTCCTGTTTTAAAGGGAGGAAAGGAGACTTAGAAGAAAGCTGATTTTAATCAGAAAATGTGTAGCTGGGCACTAGAAACAAAATGTTAAGACTGTTAGTATAGCTTTACATTAAAACTCAATAGAAGGTTTTTAAGGTTAGCTATATGGGAGATCTTTTATGGTTTGCTAAAATAAAATTTCCATTTTGCCTAAGTCTTTTCATATGTTAAGAATGGTATCCAATATAAAAACAAACATATTTACCATGCCCAAATAAATTTTCTAATGTGAACCTACATTTATTTTCATTAGTCTTCTAAATTTTGTAGCAATTGTGGGCTCTTAGGTTATTTCAGAACTTTATACAATGGAGAAAAACACACAGATATCCATGTGTGTGCATACACATGTACATGAGCTAAATTCTGTGGACTCAGTATCTGCATATGGGATAATAAACAAAACAAGAAAAATCATTCTCAGAAAAGTTGCACAAAAGAAATATTTAAAACTAATTCTATTTTTTGGCAGAATTATCTCTACATAGCAAGCAAAGAAAATTACGTAAGTAATTTACAAATAATAAACGTCAAGGCAGCATCATGAATGTTTCTTCAATCAGCTAATTCTTATAAAAGTGTACATGAACTGCACATTTCCTAAGTCTTTTTTATTTTTACCCAGAAGACCCCAAACTATATGAATCACTGTAATGAAAGAGCGCCTTTATCTAAGTCAAAATTTGCTGTGTACAAAAATAGTTTTGTAACTTGTGAATTAGTTTTAATTAGTCACAACGAAAGGAGAGAAAAAAGATAAACTGTTTTCAGTTGTTTGATCACTGCTTGTAAAAAGTTTCTACATTATCTGGTCTAGTGACTATACTTTAAGCAAAGATGAAAAAATTGCCTCAGTCTCACTGGGTGGCTCGCATGCCATGTTCTCTAGTGCACACTGTGGGTGGCCTGATCCTGTTAAAAGTCGTCTTTGTAACATGATTGTTTTATCTAAATAATGTTTAAATTCTGTTGAAATTTTAAAGGCCTGATATAAAAACTTTGTTTTGTCAAGATAACTGTTTTCACCACACGCTATTTAATGTAGAATATTACATTTCTATTATAAGATGAGAAAAAATATATTCCCTTCTTGCCACCACACCACATAATGGAGGCTAAATTAATATTTGAAATCTGATTAGAGTTAAAACATTTTTTCGTCAAAGAAAATTATTTTCAAGTATTTATCATTTAAAAAACAAAAACTTCAT